GGGGGGGGGGGGTGATAAAGGGCAAAGTCAGTGACTGCTCTCACCACTGCCCCCGCACCCTTCCCTGGCGTCCACTGAGGTCCACTGCAGTTACAATGCACTACAACGCAACCTCGCTGTATCCCAGCCTTGTGACTACAGCCAACGCTCTCCCCAGCCCGCGGTGCTAATCACATCCTCACACCCCGTTTCTGGGTCAGGTGGGAAAATACCACCTTTGACGGGTCCCGCCCACTTCTCCTTCCGGAGTTTTGTGTTTTTTTTAAATACCACCTGATTCAAGGAACCCACATCTCAATACCAACTGTTAATGAAAATAAGCTTTATTACATCAAGTAATAAATACATACAAAGATGCAAACAGTGTTAGTCACTTTCTTCCAGATGTTTGGACCAACCTACAGCAGGGGCGGAACTGAAATCTACACACATTCTCAGGGAAAATGTCAGGGGTCCTTGTCAGGCGGGGCTTGGTAAGTTGCTCTTTTCTTCTGTATTTATAACTTGTGCATTTTAAAGATGGACCTCAAAGCACTAATAGTCATGCAAATGGGTAAGCAAAAAGGAAGTTACATTAAAGCCAGACGACAGCGCCAAATGCAAACCCTCAGAGTCGAGTCAGCTCAAGAGGGGAAACAAAGAACCTTGTGAGGAACAAATGTATCCAGCAGGGAAACACTGGTATCCGGGAGGCGAACTGCAGTTTGCTGTGACAGGTAACTCTCACGTGCATCATTTTAACCAATGCTTAAAAAAAAAAACCTTAAAAAAAACACACCCTGGGTAGTTCCTAGCTAATATGTAAACCTAATCAACTGCAAAACCTCCTGCCCGTCTCGGCGGCGGGGCGGGTTCGGAGCCTGACGAACCACACAGGAGGGGCTCGGGGAGGAGAGACCAAGCGGTTACCATTTAGAAACCACGTTTCACCTAAACGGGGGACATGAACTGTAGCTTCTGGGAGGAGCACGGGAAGAAAGCCTTGCGCGGACGGACCGACGATGCAGCTAGGACCTGGCGTTGCGCTCCGTCTCGGCCAGGCACTCCCGGACCAGCCCTCTGGCGTGGATGATGCCTGAGGAGGAGAAACGGGGCTGGGACCGCCGGCTAGGCCAGGTCCAGGAGGGCACCTCCGAAGAGGAAGAGGGGCGCTCACCGCCCACGGGAGACGCCGCACGCCGGGAGGGAACTAGGGCCCCGCGTCGGAACCACCCACGCCTCCACGTGGTTTAAGGGGCACCACCACCCCAGCCCACCTCACGGCCCTTCCCTCCTGGCGCTCCTCCTGGGTCGCCCTAAACCCGTGCTCCTGCACTCGAGGTGCCAGCCAGCGAGCTCTTCCTCCAGGACGGGACCCCAAATCAACCGTGTTCCCATCTGGAGGGTGGGGGTACAGGGGTCTCCCCCAAGTTCTTTAAGCCTGACTCGCTTTGCAGATGCCATGCCTTCACTGTTTTTCTCTGGCTTCTTCTAAATTCTAGGAAGGACATGACAGTGTCTCGCAGCCTGCACATGTCGGGGCGCACGTCAACTGTGCTCATTCAGGTTCTCCCCCCCCCCCC